AACTTAATTAGAAAGGAAGGAAAGCACACCATTCTATCTGGAGAATTTAACTGTGGACATCTCTTCTTAACAGCATCTATCCAAAATAGGCCAGTCATTTTCACAGATTACATTTTAGCCCATCCTTCAGGAACAACACTTCATCTTCATTAACTGTTTCCAAAACCAGAATCTCAGAGTCTGAACTCATTCTTTTTCTTCAGATGAATATCTAATTATTTCCAACATTGAAGGTTTGTTAGGCACCTGAGTATAGCTCAGCCTACCCAGTAGAGCAGGAATTCCTTCCCTTCCCAGTTGTCTCACCAGAGCCACCAGGCTGGCTTACTTTATACTATTCTAGTGTAATTCCTTTCTTTCTTTTTAATTTTTATTTTATTCATATGTGCATACATTGTTTGGGTCATTTCTCCCCTCTTCCCCCTGTCCCCTCCCTTACCCACCGCCTGCTTCCTCCCTTACCCCCCCTTACCCCTCACTACCCAGCAGAAACTATTTTGCCCTTATCTCTAATTTTGTTGAAGAGAGATTATAAGCAATAATAGGAAGGAACAAGGGTTTTTCCTAGTTGAGATAAGGATAGCTATACAGGGAGTTGACTCACATTGATTTCCTGTGCATGTGTGTTACCTTCTAGGTTAATTCTTTTTGATCTAACCTTTTCTCTAGTTCCTGGTCCCCTTTTCCTATTGGCCTCAGTTGCTTTAAGGTATCTGCTTTAGTTTCTCTGCATTGAGGGCAACAAATGCTATCTAGTTTTTTAGGTATCTTACCTATCCTCATACTGTAATCCTTTCTGAAACAGATGTTATTACTTGAATTTGAACATGTCACAAGTCCCATTAAATGGCATCACACCCCCATAACAAAATTCTGGTAAAATATGTTAAGTCATATCGTAGAAGTTAATTTTATTTTATTGGATTTTATTCCACACAACAGAACTATAAAGGGGTTTTATTGCATTTTATGTAATGCTAAATATTTTTTTTACATTCCTCCCACCTCAACTCATTCTTTTATTTCACCCTTCATGTTAAATGAGAATTTTACAAGGGAAGAGAATGTGGATTCTCAAGACAAATTTTCACATTTCATTTTAATGCAAATAAAATGTGGTCTATTTCTAATCATCTGAGTAGTAACTAACTTAAAATACTGCACAGTACTGGATATATGCCATTGTAGCCAAGGATATATCTGTAATAATCTTTTCATCCTCTGCTGTGAGACTAACAACAGAATGTCCCTGGTAGAGATGAGGGTTGCCACCTTCATCTGAAGAGAGGTATTAGCAGTAAAGGTGTTTCAACAGGAAGTGAGTTAGATTCAAAGACAATAATATAAGGGATCAATGAATAAACACAGGAACTAAAACCATAAACCTCATAGAAGAAAACAGAGGGTTAAATCGTTATGACCTTGGATTAAGCAATGGATTCTTATATATGACCCCAAGTGTATAAGCAACAAAAGAAAAAATAGACAAATTAAACTCCATCAAAATGTAAAACCTTTGTGCATCAGAGAATCTGATCAGTAAAGGGAAAAAACAGCTAACAGAATGAGAGGAGAAATTACTGGCAAATCATGTGTATGATAAGAATATGGTATCCAGACTGCATAAAGAACTCTTTTAACTCAAAAACAAGAAGGCAAACAACCACATTAAAAATGGCAAAGGAATTGAATGGATATTTTGCCAAAAATTTACAAATGGCCAATAAACATGTCATTTTTTTAGTTTTTAGGTAAACACAAATCAAAACCACAATGAGGTAGGACTCTATCCCCCACAAGGTTGGCTAGAAAAAATAAATGGAAAATAAAAAATGTTGATGAGAATGTGGAAAATTGAAACACTTGAACTTTTCTGGTAGGAATGCATAATGGTTCTGCTATAAGGAAAACGGTTATTCAAAAAAAAAATTTTTGTTTTTGTTTTTGTGGTACTGGCATTTGAACTCAGGGCTTATACCTGAGCCACTCCACCACCCTTTTTGATCATGGATTTTTTCTTTTTTTTTTTTCTTTTTTTTTTTTTTTCATTTTTCTTTTATTATTCATATGTGCATACAAGGCTTGGTTCATTTCTCCCCCCTGCCCCCACCCCCTCCCTTACCACCCACTCCACCCTCCCCTCCCCCCCTCAATACCCAGCAGAAACTATTTTGCCCTTATTCTAATTTTGTTGTAGAGAGAGTATAAGCAATAATAGGAAGGAACAAGGGTTTTGCTGGTTGAGATAAGGATAGCTATACAGGGCATTGACTCACATTGATTTCCTGTGCGTGGGTGTTACCTTCTAGGTTAATTCTTTTTAATCTAACCTTTTCTCTAGTTCCTGTCCCCTTTTCCTATTGGCCTCAGTTGCTTTAAGGTATCTGCTTTAGTTTCTCTGCATTAAGGGCAACAAATGCTAGCTAGTTTTTTAGGTGTCTTACCTATCCTCACCCCTCCCTTGTGTGCTCTCGCTTTTATCATGTGCTCATAGTCCAATCCCCTTGTTGTGTTTGCCCTTGATCTAATGTCCACATATGAGGGAGAACATACGATTTTTGGTCTTTTGGCCAGGCTAACCTCACTCAGAATGATGTTCTCCAATTCCATCCATTTACCAGCGAATGATAACATTTCGTTCTTCTTCATGGCTGCATAAAATTCCATTGTGTATAGATACCACATTTTCTTAATCCATTCGTCAGTGCTGGGGCATCTTGGCTGTTTCCATAACTTGGCTATTGTGAATAGTGCCGCAATAAACATGGGTGTGCAGGTGCCTCTGGAGTAACCTGTGTCACAGTCTTTTGGGTATATCCCCAAGAGTGGTATTGCTGGATCAAATGGTAGATCGATGTCCAGCTTTTTAAGTAGCCTCCAAATTTTTTTCCAGAGTGGTTGTACTAGTCTACATTCCCACCAACAGTGTAAGAGGGTTCCTTTTTCCCCATCCTCGCCAACACCTGTTGTTGGTGGTGTTGCTGATGATGGCTATTCTAACAGGGGTGAGGTGGAATCTTAGTGTGGTTTTAATTTGCATTTCCTTTATTGCTAGAGATGGTGAGCATTTTTTCATGTGTTTTTGGCCATTTGAATTTCTTCTTTTGAGAAAGTTCTGTTTAGTTCACTGCCCATTTCTTTATTGGTTCATTAGTTTTGGGAGAATTTAGTTTTTTAAGTTCCCTGTATATTCTGGTTATCAGTCCTTTGTCTGATGTATAGTTGGCAAATATTTTCTCCCACTCTGTGGGTGTTCTCTTCAGTTTAGAGACCATTTCTTTTGATGAACAGAAGCTTTTTAGTTTTATGAGGTCCCATTTATCTATGCTATCTCTTAGTTGCTGTGCTGCTGGGGTTTCATTGAGAAAGTTCTTACCTATACCTACTAACTCCAGAGTATTTCCTACTCTTTCTTGTATCAACTTAAGAGTTTGGGTCTGATATTAAGATCCTTGATCCATTTTGAGTTAATCTTGGTATAGGGTGATATACATGGATCTAGTTTCAGTTTTTTGCAGACTGCTAACCAGTTTTCCCAGCAGTTTTTGTTGAAGAGGCTGCTATTTCTCCATCGTATATTTTTAGCTCCTTTGTCAAAGATAAGTTGCTTATAGTTGTGTGGCTTCATATCTGGATCCTCTATTCTGTTCCACTGGTCTTCATGTCTGTTTTTGTGCCAGTACCATGCTGTTTTTATTATTATTGCTTTGTAATATAGTTTGAAGTCAGGTATTGTGATACCTCCTGCATTGTTCTTTTGACTGAGTATTGCCTTGGCTATTCGTGGCCTCTTGTGTTTCCATATAAATTTAACAGTAGATTTTTCAATCTCTTTGATGAATGTCATTGGAATTTTGATGGGAATTGCATTAAACATGTAGATTACTTTTGGGAGTATAGACATTTTTACTATGTTGATTCTACCAAGATCATGGATTTTTTCAAGGTAGGGTCTCTCAAACTATTTGCCCAGGCTGGCTTCAAACCACAGTCCTCCTGATCTCTGCCTCCTAAGTTGCTAGGATTACAGGCATGAACCACCAGTGCCCAGGTACTCAAAAAGTATAACACTGAATTACATAGGATCCCCAAATTCCTCTCCTAAGTATATATAGCAAAGAATGGAAAACAGGGACCAGAACTAGTACATGTCCTTATGTGTTCATAGCAGCATTGCTGATGGTATTTAAAAGGTGGAAATGGCCCAAACACCTATCAAGAGATGAATGGATAAACAAAATATGGTTTATACAACATAGTTTTATTCATTCATAAAAATGAATGCAGCCAGGCATGGTGATGTATTACAGAATCGCAGTACTCAGGAGGGTGAGGCAGGAGAATTGTGAGTTTGAGGCCAGCCTAGGCTACTTAGTGATACCCTCTCTCAAAAAAAAAAAAAAAAGAATAAAGGAAGGAAGCAAGAGAGGGAGGGGGGAAGGAAAAAGAAGAAAGGAGAAAGTAAAATGAAGTACTGATGCATGCAGCAACAAAAATGAATCTCCAGGGCATTATGCCAACTGAAGGGAGCTAGACTCAAAAGGTCACATACGGTATGATTCTTTTTATATAAATGTACAGCTAAATCCACAGATGCTGGTAGAAATTGGTGGTTACCAGGGGCAGAGGGGAGAGGAGAAATGAAGAGACACTGCTTAATGGGTAAGAGCATTTATTTTGGAGCAACTAGACAGAGGTGGTGGTTGTGAAACACTACGAATGTATTAAATGCCACTTCAGCATGGTTTATTCTATGTTATGTGAATTTCACCTTAATAAACAAAGTGAAAAGTCAATAATGCAAAATAAACGTGACTGCAGACTGTCTTCCCGGAACTGCTTAACAAGCACATTCATGTAGATACTTCTCACGACAGCACGTGTTAGGGTTATGAGCAGTGAGTCGGTTCCGAACGTTCAGTAATGTAGCTCATATTCAGCTTGGATTTGGACAGTCAAAATGGGAAAATTAATTGATTTTTTTGTTGTTGTTCTTTCAGGACTCCCAGCTTGTATCCTCTGGACACAATAATCCAAGTAAGAAAGGTTTCTCTCTATAACTCTCTGTGTGGTAGGGGAGAGTGGTGGAAAGAGGAGCATGCAGTAGATAGTAGGTTTCAAAGTAATTCACTGCAACACAAAATCAACGGCTGGCGGAACGGCTCAGGTGGTAGTGTGCCTGCCTAACAAGCATGAGGCCCTGAGTTCAAGCCCCAGTATGGAACAAAAAAATTTGTGGAAAAAGAGGTCACTGGTTCAAGTACTGCCTAAATGGGTGATAAGATTTATGGTGACCCTGAATGCTGACTTTCAAGGGAGGAAAGACCAAAGCATAAAGTGGAGAATTTCAAAATGATCCTAGAAGAAAGTGATATCATGCTTTATTATAGTACATGTGAAAGAAAAAAATTAAAAGGCAAATAATGATTAAAAGGCAATTAAGGTGAATAAGCAAAAAAGAAAATAATCAGAATATTCGCGATAAAGGAGCTTAGAATCTACAAAAAAAAAGTCACAGCATGTTCAATATGTATACCATGCTGACTTCCAGAAATAGACTGCACTATTTCGGAAATGGTTTCCTTACTAAATCAGCCTGATAAGTTAGAGAAAGGTCAGTAGAGAAGCAATAGCACCCCAACACATAGGCAACCTCACTTAATTATCCCATTCTCTGTGAGGTTTTGCTGAAATATACATAGGAAATATGGAAGGGCATTAAGATAAGTAGAAAATTAATCAGAGCAAGGAAGTCAAAAATCTACAAATACAAGAAAAAGAAAGAAAATGGGGACAAATAAGTAAAAATTTGAAATAAATAGCAATCCTGGGAAAATGAACAACTCATAATCAAAAACATTTTATATAAAAGGAAATAAGAGAACATTTACAAGATCAAGGAAAATAACAGCAAAAAATTAGACTATTCATTCAGATACTGAAATTTAGATATTAATCAAGACTAAAATATAAGATAAGAGTCCTTCCTTCAATTTCTAGAATTAAGGAGAGACAATTGAAAATGTGTCAAAGAGCAAGAAGATTTAAAGAAGTGCTAAACGGAATTTCTAGACATGAAAAAGTAATAATAGAAGCTAAAATTTCCATGACCAGATTTAACAGCATATTAGAGATAATGAACTAATGAATTGGAAAATTAAGTTTAAGAAATTATCTAGAAGGCAGACTAGACAGAAAGAAATGTAAAATAGGACCTGGAAGTTAAGAAGCATGAGGAATCAAGGGCAAACACAACAATGGGATTGGACTTTGAGCACATGATAAAAGCGAGAGCACACAAGGGAGGGGTGAGGATAGGAAAGACACCTAAAAAACTAGCTAGCATTTGTTGCCCTTAATGCAGAGAAACTAAAGCAGATACCTTAAAAGCAACTGAGGCCAATAGGAAAAGGGGACCAGGAACTAGAGAAAAGGTTAGATCAAAAAGAATTAACCTAGAAGGTAACACACACGCACAGGAAATCAATGTGAGTCAATGCCCTGTATAGCTATCCTTATCTCAACCAGCAAAAACCCTTGTTCCTTCCTATTATTGCTTATACTCTCTCTACAACAAAATTAGAAATAAGGGCAAAATAGTTTCTGCTGGGTATTGAGGGAGTAGAGGGGAGAGGGAGGGGGCGGAGTGGGTGGTAAGGGAGGGGGTGGGGGCAGGGGGGAGAAATGACCCAAGCCTTGTATGCACATATGAATAATAAAAAAATAAAAATAAAAAATAAAAAAAAAAGAAGCATGAGGAATAAAACAGGAAAACCTAACAAGCATCTAACTACAATTCCAGGAAAGTGAGGGAAGCCAAATTAAAGGACATAATGGCTGACAATTTCCTAGAATTAAAAGGCACTAACTCACCACACAAGAAAAGGTACAACTTACCACATAGACAAAAGAATTTTAAACACGTAAATTCCCAGGTGACATACCTTCAAATTTCAAAAGCAAATATTAACTAAATTACAAAGAGAAATCCATCATTTTATTTGGACATACAAACACAAATTAGTAATTATTATATAATATGAACAAAAAAGTCAGTAAATATATACAAGATTTAAATGACAAAATTAGCAAGAGTACATGATCCAGCAGCTACAAAATATGATTCACTTTCAAGCATTACCAAAAACATTTATGAAAATTGACAGCACACTGCCAACCAGGAACATTTATTTATGAACTTCCAATTGAAGTCCCAACTCTGCACGTGTGGAAACTTGCAAACTGCTTCTGAACCATAGAGGAAGTTCCACATCAGTGTTATACTAATATGGCCTCTGACAACAATATGATTAAATTAGGAAATGATAGCAAGAAGATCATTAGCAGGAAAACATGTATATTTAAAAATTAAAAAGCACTTTAGATATTAGTAAGTATTTGAAACCAAAAGGCAATAGAAATACCAAGTAATAAAACTGGGGAATGTAAATAAGTCAGAGGGAAATTTATGGCCTCAAATGGTCATACTAGAAAAGAAAAAAATCATAAACTGTGATTCCACCCTATGAGATTAGACAAAGAAGAGCAAAGTAAACCCAAAGCAAAAAGATTTACAACAAAAAAAATAAAAAGACAAAAGCAGAAATTAAAATAGCAAACAAATAAATTTGAAATGTCAGTGGAGCCAAAGATTTGTTCTTTGAAGATACAGTTAAATCAAGGAGCTTCCTGGAGAGTTGGTAAAGGCAAAAAAGGGAAGGTTCTAGTGAAGGACGAGGAGAAAGATTGACACACACTGCAGATCAGCATGACAGCAAGGGATAAGCAAAATTTTGTCAAACTTATTTTTTTTAAAAAATGGATGAAATGAATATAATTGAAATGACTTTTAGATATTGCATGTTTGATGTAAAATTTATACATATATAATCTGAAAAATCCTATATTTTTAAAATTGTCTCAGTCACTTTTTAAAAATAATTTCACACACATGATTTTAACACTAGATATTTTTCAGAAGGAATTCTACCAAACACATGGGCAAAAAAAATTCCCAAACTGACATCCTCTTTTGGAGATTAGAATGAGAAGTTTAGCACTCCCCAACTCATTCTACCAGGCCAGCATAACCTGGCTATCAAAACTTGACAAGGACAGTATAAGAAAAGGAAATTTCAGGTCAATTTCATTCATGATCATAAATCTAAAACTTCTAAGGAAATATTAATAAATTAAACCCAACAGAGCATAAAATGTATTTTAATATACAATTCATAATTAGGACATTGTTTTGTTCTAGGAATTCAAAATTAGATTTTTAAAGACCATGTAATTCATTATATCAAATATTAAAACAGAAAATGATTCAATAAGTTGAGAAAAAATGTTTGATAAAATTCGCTATACCCAATTCAAAGAAAAAAATCTTAGCAAATTTGGAAATAGAAGTCCGCTTCGTTAGCACAAACAATATCTGCAGTAAAATGGTATACTGTCAGAAGACAGTATAGTCTATCTCTCTGATGTGTTTCTCAAACACAAAAAGTGTCAACTAAAGGAAAATACTGATAAATACAAATATATTAAAATAACTAGAATGAACTTACATAGCTCATCCAAACATGCCAGAAAAAATAAAAGGCTAACACTAGGAAAAGTTTTATTATTTTTGTTTATGATCTGTATTTATTGTATACAAATTTATTATTTGTGTTGAGACAATAAAATGCTTCTCTGAATAAAAAGTACTAAAAATGTTGAAGAAATGACAAAAAAAGAGCAAGTATAATACATGTACCTCATTAATATTCAAACAAATGCAAACACCACAATGAAATTTCATTCTGTGTAATTAAGTTGGGGAAAAAATGTTAAAATTTTGACTACAGCAAGTGTTTGTGTGGACATGAATCAATGGGAGACCTTCTGTATTACCAGGGTGAGTGTTAATTTGGAAGCCGGTTAGGATTCCTTGAAAGTTATACATGTAGAAGCATTGAAGCCAAGAACTCCTAACGTGTCCAGGAGAAAGAATGTTCATGAATGTTTACAAATGCATCATTCATAATAGAAAATGATCTAAGTGCACACCAGGAGTAGAACAGATAAAAGTCACAGCATATTTATACATTAAGATGGCACAAAACCAAAGCTATATGTGTCATGATGGCTGAATCTGAAAATCATAGTACTGAGAGTCAGAAGTAAGTCTGAAGAATGCATGCACCTTATTTCATTCATGGAAAGTTTAGAAACAGCAGCATCCATAGAATATTTCCATGGGTGGTTAAAAAAAAAAAAAAACTATTAAGAAAAGAAAGGGAATGATCACCCCAGAATTCCATTACTAGGGAGCTCGCAGGGAGTGCCGGAATAGGCTGCCAGCTGGTTGGGGCTTGTAGGAGGTAGCTGAGTTCGTTTGGGGCAATGTTTTATTTCCTGGCTTGGAAGATGTTTTCACAGTTGATTTGGTTGAATTTTTAAAAATTGTCTGTATATATTCAGGTACACATCCATTTTTTCATGCATTGAATGCTGTATTTACAATCTGTTAGTAAAGTCCTAGCCTCAACTTCAGAGCCATAATTCTTTGTCATGATGGATCAGAAGAGAGCTCATTTGATGTAAATGCTAGGAGCATTTGCCCTCATTCAGGTTTAGCGACATTTCCTCCTGCATAGCCCACTCACGCTGCTTCGTTCTTCAGTATCTGGTATTTATATTATGATACTATAAAGGCTGATTATTGGTTTATAATTTCTCCAATTGACATATAGGCAGGTTTATAGGTTAAATTATTAGCTAAATTAATTTTAATGAGGATGACTCATTAATGATGACTGCATAGAATATAAATATTTTAAATGTTGGCATTGTAAAAGGAAAGGTATAGCTGTTTAGAGTTGAAAGAGACAGAGAAAGAAGAGGGTAGAGTAGATTGGTGAGTTTCCTCACTTACATAGTATAAAGAAAAGATATTGTCAGAAGTTGATTAGCCAAGAAATAGGAGATTAAATATTTAAAGTTACAAATGCACATTAGAGACACTAAAACTGATATTAGAACTAGTAAGAATTGTAGGGGGAAGGAGTAATATAAGTATATTAAAAACCTTATATCTTATTTTTCATATCAGAAATTATTAGATGCTATCTATGGATACATCTAGAAATAAAAATAGTAGTAGATTACTTAATGAATGAAGGACTAATAGAATTAAAAACAAAAGCATGCAGTCATTACCTTTTCTCTACTGTTCAAATGTTTCTTTTGCCATAAGCATGGGTTACTTTTTTATTTTTATTTTTTTTTATTTTGACAATACTGGGGTCAAAAACTCAGGGCCTCACACTTGCAAGGCAGAGGCTCTGCCACTTGAGTCATGCCCCCAGCCTTTTATGCTTTAGTTATTTTCAGGTAGGGTCTCACATTTTTGCCATGATTGTTCTGGACCATGATCCTCCTACATCTGCCTCCTACATAGCTGGGATGACAGGCACAATCCACTATATCCAGCATTTTTGTTGAGTTGGGAGTGTCACTAACGTTTTGCCACAGCTAGCCTTGAACCATGAGCCTCCCGATCTTTACCTCACAAGTAACTGGAATTATGGGTATAAACCACTACACCCAGCCAAATACTTTTAATACAATTATGAAGAAAAATTATAGCACAGCCAAAATCTGCTCTGCAGTCGGTCTCAATATAATATGTGCTGTTTTGATTCTCTTTCCAAAACTCTCCTCTGGTCCACATCCTAACTCTGCAGCACAGTCAGTGTAAGTGTTTAAAGGGCATAAATTCATATTTTATCTTTACACTCACCAGGAACAACACAGGCATGTGAGAGTCCTCAGTACACTTATTAAATTAGAAAGTTAGCTATTATAGTTTTTTTAAGTGGCCTGTTCAAGTCATCATGTTGTTTCATGCCTCAAACTATATCCATCTCAATGGTGAACATACTTTAAAACCTCTTCTGTTTTTTGTTGTTTTGGGGTGGGGGCAGTGATCAAACTCATGGCCTCACACATATGATAAGCATGGACTCTACCCTTGAGCTACATCCCCAACCTAAACCTCTTCTACTTTGGCCTGTGATTCTGTATTAGCAACATATCATCAGAAGAGAAGACATATGTCACACTGAAAATACATGCCTCATATACATAAACTACATGTACTATCTTGTATATATACATGAACATTTGCACATACATCTATCTAGTCCTTCTTGTGGTTCAATTCCTTCTTCTCTATAATTGTATTTCCACATGCAAAATGACCACACTGCACCTAAGCCAGTGTCTTAAATCCGACTTATTTATGACCAGTGCCGGTTCCCTCCCAAAGTGACTGAGTACTGATATCCATCATGAAAGCAGCTGAGATCCATAGCTGACCCTGAATAGTCCTCTTTGTGGGCTGTTGAGGCATCTCCTGAGCATTCAATTTAAATAAAAGCTCATTCTGAGAATTTTCTAGCTTACCTTCATCATTTTCCCTTGAGTCCTGATAAAGAGACTATGATTCTCAATGGCTTATGCTCTTAAACATTTCAAATGAGCTTCAGAAGTTGCATCACCTAAAATTTCAAAATGTTGGGGAAAAAAATTTTTACACATTTTTTTTCTTTCTGAAGAGCAAAAATAAAAGTTGTAATCCCTGTCTTAATCCCAAATTCACTTTTCTCCACAAGGTTAATTCATTATCAGTCCTGAAGTCGCTGAGAGCACTTGCTGTAGGACTGTTTATAAATGTCCTGTTTGGCCCCATGGTATCATTCTTATTTGCCGGAACCTATTCTGTTTTCCCTGTTGCCACAACATAAGTGCTGCTAAGGGCAGAGACTATCAGCTGCTGCCTTATGCCGGGCTGAGCCAGCCCATGACTCCTGCAGCCCCCAGACCCCATGTGCAATCCAGCCCGTGGCCATGACACCTGCAGGTTATCAGGAAGCATTATTGGTCAAGGTAAAACATATTTATTCAGACATGCAAACAAGGTCTTTATTTATATTATTGATTCCCTGTTTTCTGACATTACATTGTTTAGAAATGTTTACTGTTGTCTGCTACAGCTGAGCCTGCTGTTTTACATTCTTGATGGTCACAGTGCATGGTGTAATTTGCTGGCAGCTATACCTTGGAGAAAGTAACCAATTTCTCCAAATCCAAAGGGGAAAAGGAAAGATCAATATGTTTGAGAAAAATTAAATGTACATTTAGGTTTGTCTTACATGATTCAGGTGTGATGGCAATTTATTGGGGAATTTTGGCAGGAATGATGATTGTTCAATGGAAAGATGATTCTGGAAGGCACTAAATTAGGTTATTTCCCAGGATGGAAGCCAGTTGACCAGGCCTTCCATGTCTCCTAAATGAGCATACCACAGCCCTGCCCAGAAGGCCAAATGTAATACAACATTTCATAGTTTTAGAACAAGTTTATTAGTCTGTTGCCTTTGCTTTTATTTCAACTTGATTTCATATAAATTCGGTCCCTGGCTAGTCAATTTGTTTTCAACATTGATTTTATGACTTTTTTGGTTTCCTCTTAAATGACCAGCTTTTGAACCGCGTGGCTGTCTCTCATGGGTGTTCTGACATCAGGTATAAACACAACACAGAGTTGTGTTGGAGGTAGACTATATATAATTGTCTTCCTTTTCTCACAACTGTTTCATTCCCTATAAGAAAAAGAGAAGAAAATATGAAGTTCATTTTGAGCTCATCTTGAACAATACCTTTGAGATATGTTCATTATGTAATTTAGGAGGTCATGGGATGAGGTGACCACAAACCAATGTTAACAGCTGACAAATGGGTCTTGGTATAGTACAGAGACCTGAGGGCCTGAGAAGCAGACAGAAGGATCCCAGGAGATGTCCAGTCCTGACTTGAAAGAGCACAACAAAGCAAGGTGCCACAACCAGACCATTTTTTGCAACTTAGAACTTTCCGTGGGGTACCTTCATCTAGTAGCACTGCAGAACCATCAGCAGCCATAGCACGAGTGACCCTTCTCCTTCCTTCCACAGGAAATCCAGAGAAACTCCTTACAGAATGATGATGTGTGTTTCAAACCACCAGTGGGTCCAGGATTAGGAATTATATTATGCCTTTTTGGAAGGAATTTGTCCTTCAAACTGCAAAAAAATGAACTGCTTCCAGGCTCCTCTAACTAAATCCATTAAATTCCTAATGACCTCATCCCACAGAAACATTTTTTATCTAGCCTCTCAGATGATCAGGAAGGATTTTTGGCTTCTGCTGCTTTAACTTGGGAGCCCCAAAGCCTGATGCTAGGGCTCTCCACAGAGTATCAGGGGACTCTCATGACTTTAATCTCGGTGTTCTCTAAATTCTTTTCTCCAATTTCTGATTCAGCCTGACCCCACCTGGCCTGTGTTAGCAGAAAGGCTCAAAGTTCAGAGTGCCTTGGATGTAGAATGCTAATGGGTTTATTTCTTTAAGTTTTCTGAAAAGTGAAATGGAAAGAAACTGATTCCATCTGTAAGATATTCATCTTTTGGCAAGGTCTCTACTCTGAGTCTCTGGTTATTTGCAAATGGCTCCTTAGTACCTACTCACAGATCTGTGTGCCTAGGCAATTTCATTACAAAGATGAATTATTTTGCAAATCCAGTTCTCAGACAATAAAAGATATTTTAAAAGCCTCCTGCTGCACATTTTGAAAGATTGTTAATAGGAGCATAGAAATATGTGTAATCTCTCTTAAGGACTGCAAGACTCACATGTTGGTATTTTTTTCTACTTCCTTTTTAAGAGAAAGGTGATGCCGAGCCAGAGAGTCCAGACAATGGCACATCGAATACATCGTAAGTCTCTTTCGTGTTTCTCTGGGAGATGCGTATTTTTTAATATGCCTTATAAAAAAATGAAACAGTCCAAGTATCTTGTAATAGTCACAGTCATATAGAAGGAAGCCCTGGCTCTCTTTTCTCATGTCTTTTTAAATGCTTTCCCTGCAGATGCATTCTGAGGCCTTTTGCTTTAGTATAGATAAAGGAATCTTGAAACTGCAAATGTTCCTCTTTATGAAGTAGAATTGTAATGAGAAGAGAAGGAAGGCAAGCCCTTTAGAATTTGGCTGGAAACTTTCAGTACTGTCATAAGACAGTCAGAACTGCTCACACATATTGGGTCATGGGTGTTCTGACATCAGGTATAAACACAACACAGAGTTATGTCGGAGGTAGACTATATATAATTGTCTTCCTTTTCTCACAACTGTTTCATTCCCTATAAGAAAAAGAGAAGAAAATATGAAGTTCATTTTGAGCTCACCTCTGAATTATGTGAAAAATTCAAAGAATCCAAATGTTTTTAATGATTAATCTAATGCCAAATTGATGTACCAGTATTTAAATAATATTCACATGCTAATGGATGATTTTGTCTTAGCTCCACAGGGATCAGTAACAGCCTTGCACCTTTTAAGAAATATATTTATTTTTATCAGTCTCAATAAGTGAAATCTGTTTTTTTATTTTAGGACAGGCCTTGTGAATGTATTTGTTTGTGGATCAGCACTCTCATTACTTACTAAGCATTTAAAGTGCTATTCGTTAAAAATCACAGCTTGTGGTATAATGTTGAGTGTCTTATTTGGCCCGTGTTCTGTTTCCCACTCTTGAAAACTCCTCTGGCTTATACAGCATAGCTATACACAACTGAATAGATATGATTATTGGTTTGTCTTTCTTAAGATTACCCTGAAAGTTCTAAATAGCTTCATTGCTGTGGTTCTAATGATATAATGAATGTGACTGGTCTTGAATGGTTAAAATATTACTAATTTTTAAATTGTTGGTGCTACAAAATATAATGAGAACAGAGTTTTAATGCCACCTGGAGGCATCCTAGAGAACTGAAAAGGGTAGAGTCACTAAAAAATTCTTTTGAGTAACATTTTGACTGAATAAGAATTTACACAACTAGAATGTAAGCTACTTTACAGAAAATTCTATTTTTATCAGTTATTTAGTAGGAGTAATAATTACTGTAGACACAATAAATTTTCAAATTCTCAACAGCAAAATTATTTTAGAAACAGGTAAAAGAACATAGAAAACATCTTAGAAAGCTGCTAGTATGCTACATTTAATTTTATGTATTTTAAAATCATATTCAGGGCTGGCAGAGTGGCTCAAGTGGTAGAGTGCCTGCCTAGCAAACATGAGGCCCTGAGTTCAACCCCAGTACCACCAAACTAAGGAAGGGAGGGAGCAAGGAAGAGAGGAGGAAAGGAGAGAAAGGAGGAAAAGGAGGGACGAAGGATGGATATTGGTGTCAGGAGACACCAGTTTTTGCTAATGCAGTTCTATTTGCCATTTAAGTTCTCCTTTCCTCTTCTCTTATACATTTTCTAAAAAAGTCCATTCCCTAAGATAACTGGTTTCCATTACTCAATTCCTTATTTCTTATGTGTAAAAATAAATAAGCTGTGTGAGGAAATAACTTTTAATCCTCTGGAGATATGAAAATGGTAGAAGCCCCACATCCCTGTCTCTCTGAGCAAAGCAGTTCCTCCTTCACCAGCCTCTTGAGTTGGAAATTACAGAAATAAACCCTGAGGTTGCAAGGAACTCTCTTTAAAATGGAGAATTATGAACTTGGAATCTCTCAAAGAGCCCTCTCACAGTGGTTCTGTTATAGTTAGACAAGAAAAGCACCATGTTTTGTTATGAGTAGAGTGAAATTCAGGATGCCTAAGACAAGTGTGGTATTGGCATTCTTTTTTTCTTTTTTGGTGGTACGGGGGTTTGAACTCAGAGTTTCACACTTACTAGGCAGGCACTCTACCACTTGAGCCACATCTCCAGCCCTGGCATTGACATTCTTATGTGCAGTACCTCATTTGAGCTTTACTTAGGTAGGTAGGGCTGGGACAATATCCTGAGTTATGAATAGGGAATCTGAGGATCAGAAAGGTCATTCAACTTAAGGGATAAATCAGAACATAACCCTCCTGATTTTTCCAATTTACCATATGAAGGATGTATAGTCTCAAGAGACAAAGCCAACAAGTTTTTAAAAATCTAAAATCATATTATTCTGTTGAATGGTAAGTGTACTACTTTGTCAAGGCTGCCTTAATACTGGACCACAAAATAGGTGACTTAAGCAACAGAAATTAATTTCCTCAGAGGTCTGGATCCTGAAAGTCCCAGATCAAAGTGTTGCAAGGCTGATTCCTTCTTCAAGATTTGAGGAAAGGACATGTTCCAGGCCTTTCTCCTTGGCTTATAGCTGGTCAGTTCTTCCTATGTGTCTTCAGGTTATCATCTCTCAGTACCTGTTTCAGAATCTCTTTTTGTAACACCAGTCATTTTGGAGTAGGACTCATTCTGATGGCTTTAGGACCATTTAGGATCATTTTAACTTATTACCCCTGTAAAGATCGTCTCTCAAAATAAGGTCAAATTTTGCAGTATTGGAAGTTAGGACTTCAGCATGTGAAATGGGGGGAGGGAAAAATTCAACCCATAACAAGAAGGGTCAGAGAACTTAGAATGAGTCAGCAGCCAGGTAAACAGAACTAGGAATTTGCAGCTTTCCAAAGATGGAACAAGGGAAAGGAACGGACGAAAAATTATGGACTTCATGAGAGCTGAAAGGGTGAATTAGAACAAAGCAAACCAGAAATAGCAAATGACACTAAAATTGGTGGTACCTCTTTCACACAGGGCCTCAGTGTGCATTACTCTATCATATAATTCTATGAACCTGTGACTCATTTAAAGCCATTATAACTTGTAATGTAAAATCAAGAATCTCTAAGCAGCAGAGTCCACTTCCTAAAGAAGTGTCCTTGCTCAATGGTGCCAGTAGCTCACACCTATAATCCTAGCTACATGGGAGACTGAGATCCCATTTCATGCCAGCCCTAGCAAATAATTTGTGAGACCCCATCTCCAAAATACCTAGAGCAAAATAGACTGGGGGTGTGGATAAATTTGTAGAGTGCCTGCTTTGCAAGAGGGAAGCCTTGAGTTCAAACCACAGCCCCACCCAAAGAAAAGAAGCATCCTTCCTCACTACCCTCCTTTATATTAATTAGTGATGATTAGTTTTAGATACTCATTGCCTAGAAGGATAGAGTGGCCTGGATAATACCTGAGGATACCTTCAGGATTAATGTCAATGATTCAGATAAAAGTGACTATTTAATCGTAATATAAGCATATAAAGGCATAAATTAAATATCTGTGGCCTACTGTCAGTTACCCTAATGCCTATGTCATAAAGGAGGAAGTCAGAGAGAAAACAGCCCTTAATTCTGTATATAAATTCCCATCAGTCCTTGAATGAGCCCTGAATTGCATATGTAAGGGAAGACACAAAAGAGCACGGTGGAAAACAATAGTTAGAAGCCTGGAAAGAATGACCAGAGATTTCCAAGCTGCCTACTTCCTGCAGCTACTGCCTATATTGAGTTAGAAACTCCTCCAAGATAGAAATGTTAGGTAAACACCAGGAGTTTTCTAACCCCAGAAGGACCATGCCTTCAGACAAAGGAGTCCCTCTAAAATTAAGACCAAATTCGAAACAGATCCTCCCTGACAAGCTGTATTACCAATATCCACAAGTTCAGGCTTATCAGCTAAAAATGCAACTGCCCAATAGAACAAAAAACTCAACCTTTTTTAAGAGAAAAAACAAATCTCTATGTTACATGCAGAAGTGAAATGTGGGCCGGTGTCAAGGGTCCTTGCCTTCACAGGCCAGACAACTGGCTCGTGAGGAAGCTGATTGATTTGTGAATCAAAGCCAGTATACAAAGTAGGATTTATTAGATAGAAAGGAAAGGCTACAGCTAGAGCAGTGTGGCAGTGCCCAAAACCGGTGGCTTCCCGCTCAGGTAAAGGCTGGGGCTTTTTATGGACGTTTTAACTCTGGGTTTGGGTAAGGGTCAGGTGGGCTTTTCTCATTGGCCTTGGATTCGCGGGCTCTCTTAGATGAGCTGGTCTGTTTGCCCCTTATTGGGGGTGGGGGGAGGGGGACAATCTTGAGAGCATTTTGCTCATCAGCCCAGTGGCAGATCTATGAGACCTGTATCTCCTCTTCAGGGTGCAGATTTACACCTCCTTCTCAGGATGCAGGAATCATAGCGCTCTCCATGGGGGATGGGATACTCACTCATCTGCCTTAGGTCTCCAGACTCAACACTCTATATCATCCACAATGTTTAGTATCTAATCAAAAATTAAAATATATGAAGAAATAGGAGAACATGATCAACAGCCAAGAGAAAAAGTAGCCACTGTAACAGATTTCATAGTTCTGTATCTTTAAGTTTTTTTCAAGTAGGAATTTTAGAAACAACTGTTATATGTCCAAGAAGAGAAAGAAAAACACGGTCATCATGACTGAAATGAAGGGGAATCTCATCACTGAAATGTAAACTATTAAGAAGAACCAAATGAAAATTTAGAACTGAAAAATAAAACAATTGAAATGAAAAATATACTGGGAAATGTTAAATTAAGAATGGAAATTATAAGACAAAGCTTAAACTCAGATCAACAAGATTTATGTGAAAAAAAATGAGAGTAAAGATTTTACAATGATGAAAAAACCATAGTGAATTATGGGATTATGTCAGTCGGTCTAATATATATATGTTATTATTATATTATATATGATTATTCAAAGGGGAAGAGAGAGAAAAGAAACCAGAAAAAGTATGTGGAGTAATAATGGCTGAAAAATTCCCAAACTGTGTGAAAATATTAACTTAGAGGTCCATGCAACTCAATACCCTTAGCAGCATAAATACAAATGAAATCACATTCTGGAAAACTGAAGCTAAAGG